AGTTGACTCCGGGTTAGTTCATTCGTATCTATGACGCACACTCGATCAACGATCACGAACATAACGTTCCTGGGTGGAACGGGTGTGTGGGGGAGGCGGGGAGAGAACGGCCCACCTCGACCCACCCACCTACCACCCTACCGAAACAATCAACCTGGCTCGGTAACTCGCGAAAAATGTACTTTTGTTTGTTTACCGAGAAATTAGTTCATTCGAACTGGAGGGGGTTTAGACGGACCCGGTCCAATCGGTGACATTTGACGGCCAAAACACCAATCATCTTGTCGGGGTTTCTAATGGAGTGCGATTGGTTGGATTCACTTGAAGTTACAACGGATTCACTTGAAGTTACGGCGGATTCACTTGAAGTTGAAAAGGTATAGTGTCATGTTCCTCCAGGTTGGGGGTTTGACTAGAATTGGCGTTTCAGTAGGTAAAAAATGGTGCTTTTCGATCAGGTGTAGCGTCCCCGTGCCAGTCTAGATTAATCAAACGAAGATATGGCATGAGTATATGAAAACCCTGTCGCAGTCACGCACGATAAACTTTCCGGTTGCGGATCCCCAGATTAATGCAATCAATAGTTAGAGACACTCAGTCTTATAAACTGCATCACTCGTGCGTCTACTCGATTTCTTTTTAATCTTGGTTTGCCTGAATTCACCACCTTCACTTTGCTCGCAGCACTCTTCTTCTTTTCTCTACCTCTTCATTCAAATTGGGTATGTGAAAGAGCAAATAAAGCACTGCAAGGTTAATGATAGTTCAAATCAGCATAAAAATAACGATGTTTGGAAAGTTTCAGTGGTTCTAAAAGCCAATGGGATGAGTTGGTGTCAGCGGATTCATTCTGCCTTATGGCTAGTTTGATGAAACGCCGGGTTTGATTAATTTTTTTTGTCTTACCTGCGATTTCCGGTATGATATTTATTATTATTGTCACTGGGCTTCATACCATGCCTATTTCATTATTGCACTTTCCCGACCTAGGAAGCTTGTTTTCGTTACAGAACGATAGGTGCTGATGACCATGGGGTTAACTGAAAAGGACAATATCAATTTTTTGTGTAACGATTTTTCCAACTTGATCGCCCTTCTCCCATTTTTTGCAGGTTCGTGCAGATGGTTTTAAGTGGCACATTACAATCTCGGGAGTCACATCATGAATCGCTCAATATGAAGAGCAATTTTCAAAAGAAGGTACATATTGCCTTTTGTACAAATGATGTCTTATACGGTATATAATCATGTATGTCGGAAAACAAGTGCTAAGCGACATTCATAACGTTAAAAAATAAGACAATGTAACTAAAATGGCAGGGTGTACCTTATTTAAAGTAACAGCTTTCTAGATTGAGCGATGCAAGCAGAATTTTGCATTTCGTTTTATTGTAACTACGTTTTTGCGCCACAGCGGTTAATATCATCGCTTGACTTGAATGGCCAAGCGAATGGACATGTTATAGTCACTTCATCATTCATCCTCATCTCTTATTAGTCAATAAACTGTTTGTGGTGGAGTAGATGACTGACTGTAAAGTAGTTTATCCACTTCTGTTCTCATTCATCTGATGTTTTTCACCATAACTTGATGGAAGATGCAGTAAGTTTTTGGTGTTAAATGACTTTGATTCATCGGAAAGGATACTTTCTTTGTTATATCTGCAGTCATAAAAGAAGCATACCGGACTGTTCTTTAACATAACCTCATTCGTTAAGCTAGAATAGAAACGACAGGGTAGTTTATTCCTTTATAGTTTTTGATGAATAATGGTTATGGAAAAAGTGTACAGATAACCAATTCGAGAATCTTCAGTTAGTTTTTCCCATAGGCGTTTTGATGTCACCGGAAATGACAACCAAAAATAGCGCCCTGATGATGTTCAGCATTTGCAATAAACTAATGACCCACTTATTCGGTGTCAGTGCTCGTGTATTGCATTCACTACATGGCAGTAGGTACGACACCAAATCACTTTACTAACTACGTTGATTCATCCGGATGTATAACGGTAGAATTTACGGCAGTACCAGTAGCAGTAATTCTGCGCTAAAATATTATCACTATATCTATGTAATCACTTTTTCTCTGTCAATATATAGCATTCACTCGCCACGGAATCTACGATCATGGAGGCTTGGACTGAGGTTGGATAACTTTTTAATGACTGTGAGCTTTGCCATTTAGCTTGAGGAGAAAGCTGCTGTAACTAACATTACTGTGCTAATGGATAGTGACCCACAAATTCTGGGTAAATCAACACCACACCATTGTAATGCTGTTGTCTCTAGATGGAACTTCTTTATTTGGCCAGTTTCACGAATTATGGCGTAGTTCACCTGGAAATCCCATAGATTTACCACTTGAGTATAGCACGGCATGTGCAACTGTAGCCAAACGTCTTCCGGTTGTCGCGAGCCACTTGCTACCTCCTGATGGGTAAGTCGTTGCTTTTCATGCATACATGAAATTGTAGCTTACCGAATATTCGTAACCTTCAGGAAATGCTTCAGTTGGAGAAAGACACGTGGACACTTATTTCAGCGTTGTATTTGGATCGTTTGGAGACAGAAAACAAAATCGGATCCCTATCTCATGAAAGCTACCAGGCAAGTTTTGGCAATTATGCTGTGTTTGACAGTGATCTGGGTAACCTACCAGCATTCCGCTCAGGGGCGAATCATGAATTGATTTCTTTCTCAAAGTAATTGTTGCACTGTAACTTGTCTGCTAGACACTCTGGAATCAACCTTCCCGACTAATACATACCCACAAGCGTTCGTTTAAACGTAACACGGTGGTGTGATAACGACAATATCAATTTTGTATATTGTCACCACAAACGGATTGCAGCCCTCAGTCGTATGGTAGTTCGTGTTGTTCATGCTGTCTCGGAGGTTGTGGAGTAGACGGAGAGAGTTCAGTTAATTGGTTGTCTGGGAAAGCAGTTTGACTCAAGATGGTGGTCGATAGAAATGATCTATGAAAAATCATAATATATTATTTATTTATCACCGCTTTGCGAGTAAGCTCGGTGCCAACGTAACAACGAAAATAACAGATTATGGGGTTTTGGTTGAGATACAAAGTAGAGTAAAAGGGGGTCAGACGGTTAAGTTGAATAACGAGAAGAATAAGTTTTTTGTTTGTTTCACCGTACACTTTTTTGTGTTAGTTTATCGTTTTTAATGGGGCACTGGATTCCAACAGGCAGATCGTACAGCATTCGCATCATTGACTTCTATCCAGGGCCATATCTCTCAGCGTTTCTAACCAGCGAAAATCCTCATCCCTTGGGCCCCAACCTGGAAGGTTGGCCTCACCAACCGAAGCCAAAGCTGAGGCCAGCTTCTTCATACATCTACGCCTTGTCATGGCCTGACCACCGCTATGCTTCTTCCATTCTTGCCCGGCACATGCAAAGAGATCACGGAAAGGTAGCCGATGGGTAGGCATACGCATTACGTGACCAAGCCATCGGAGGCGGTGTAGAGCAAATACTTCTGAGAAATTAATCCATTTATATGAATTTCATAGTCCCATCTGCTTCTCGGTAGTTAACTTGTTTCTTGAGGTTAAAAGCTTGATTAAAAACTAATTATTCTCTTACTGACCGGGTAACATCATACGCCTTATTCATCCCAATTAAAAAAGCAGAAAAATTCGCCCATCAGTAATTGCATTGAGGATTGACCTGCACTGCGTTGCTGGCTACTAACAGTGGGTGGGCTATTACTTGGAGCTCCCAACTACTGTTTAAATTCATGTTTTGTTTCCATACACTCCACCTGCCTTGAGGTCCATGAACTTCCGTGTAATAGTCTGCTTGCCTCATGTCAAGGTTGGTTATTGGGTGAAATATTTGTCTATTTCATCAAAGAATCTTCAACGAATCTGCTCTCTTTATTAATAGGCTTTGACACAGGTTGTTTGCACTTACATTGGACTCGGTAGTTTCCATTATCTGTTGCATCTCCGGAATTTTAATTTAGGATATTAATGGTAGTAGGCAGCTTCGTTATCGCCGCGGTCAATACTGCGTCTATTCTATTGGAGCAATACGTCCATCGCCACTCCAGGTCTTAGCGTTTAGGTCGCCGGCTATCAGGGGTGAATAGCAAGTCTTCGGGAGCATGATTCTGCATAACACAGGGGTATGAGCAGAGTTGCGAAAGCAAATCAGGGATAATTAGGATTGTTCATTTGTTCATCATGGTGCGGAACTTGTACACAACACATTGCCTAACTAATAGCAAATACTGACAGTTAACAATGTGGGTGCGGAGCGACCTACATGGGCAGAACAGAGTAACAATTACCTAACCGGGTGGTTGAACATATTCCAAATTGGGTCCAAAGTCAGATGACGCAATCCGGGTTAAGTCTGCGGCATAGAAATAATGGTTGAAACTACAAGACTCCGTCATCAGCTATAGCTCGACATCTGATGACGTAACACCAGATCGACCGAAGCACGGCGTTTCGGATTATCTACAAGTCACGAATCGCAAGATTGCTACGGTTTGCAGAAGCGATTATCAGTCAATGGAAGCCCCCCTTGTGTCAACAAAAAGAACTTTATGTTAGTTTATCCTTACCCTGGTAACATAGTCCTTTTACCCCTCCCCCTTTTATGTTTGTCCGTTTCATTGTTTTTTACTTTTCTTTGTTGCCACGCTAAGTCCCCATATAAATATTGTGTCTTCTGCAGTATGCACCATGTTGAGATGCAGCGAAATCGTCCTAGACATAAATCGTGCAGTATTGCAATTTGGTCTTTTCTTTTGAAGTTAACAAAGATTGTTGGTATTGTTTAGATCGTGTGCAAAATCACGTGGGTGGGATATGAGTGCATCAGTGCTGATCGCGTAGTGGGTGAGGGCTGTTTGTTGCGTGACTTTTCAACTGTCTCGTTGAGTGGGATAAGAAGGGTATGCAGCCATGAGTCACCAAGCTCGTTCGAACATACCCAATGGCTGCCTTGGTTGCACTTGAAGTTGATTTCAATTCAGCTTTTAAAAAGTGGCTCAAATACTTTTCTATGCAGCGTTTAATTTGCCAACAAATGGATAATGATGACAAGTGCTGTATGAAGCCACTCTTTGACATACCATCCTTGGCGGTTGACCGTTGGTCTCACTTTTCTTTGATGAATCAGGTCTGCAGTTCGCTTGCCAGCAGAATTCATCTATGATCTTAGTTGTGAAAGTGGTATCGTTTGTATCGTCGTCGATCAATGAACTCCATAGTTTTGTGGTGGAACAGTAATAATTGACGTTGACCTACTTAGGTAGATGCTGTTCCTCAAACAAACGCTTGTCCGTTGACTTCACGGAAACATATTTCCTATTCGCTAACGTGATGTCGACAGGACGTCTATTTATCCTTTCAAGGTTGAGCCTATGCAATAGCTCCTTTAATCCACAAACCAGACCCTTGGAAATTGCTATAAGAAAGTTAGTGAAGGTCACCCCTGATTGAGCATAAATATTTTCGTCACAGGCCCCGATTTCAAGGGATAGATCCTTAACTTAGCTCGAAATCCGATCTAGTTTACTACTTTGTGGTTGATGGTGGTGGTCAACTGGTTTAATTTCTTGTCACTGGCGTGCACAGAGATAATTTCTGAGATCCGTACCCGGCCGCCATCAGCTGTTTTTATTGGTATGCGCATTGGTGGACGTGCGGCTCGGTATCACGCTTATTCTATTGGGATTTTATGTGGTCCGCCATTTCCAGTCTCCAGATTTATGTTGCCGGTTATCATAAGTGAGCAAACGATATTTTTGACTGTGAAGTTTACCACTTCTTCAACTCACCATATGGAGACGTGTATAATTAGAAACCAAATAATCGACCATTGAGGATAGAAGTGAGTTCAGTGAATAAGCTGTCGGTGATGTGAAGATAGGGGTACATGAGGAGTGCAAGTCGTATATGTGTACGAAGTGAATCGATGTATGAGCACCGGTGTTTACGACATAGCGTTATCACCTCAGGCCTTTACATATACAGTTCGAATAGTCAGCGGAATAATGCGAGGTCTAAGCTGATGTTGAATGAATGTGTGTGTCGAATGTTTAGTTGACAACGAGCTCTGGGGGCACGATAAATGGGTAGGGAAAAGCAGGATAAAATGTGTGAAGTGAACACGAAAGGTGAAAGGTGTTAGTCAAGAATGAATGAGAGAGGTGTAAAAGTATGAGAAAAAGACGGTAAATGACGGAAGGAGGGGGAGTGGAAAAGGTGTCGCATAGGAATATGGGACAATCACTTCTATGACCACCGTAACAGCCACGTTGGAACAAGATTACGTTGCTTGCACAACTCCGGCTTCATAATCCTAATTGCTATGGATTCCGCAGTTGTCAGGATCTTACGTAATCCTTGTGCGGTTCAGCACTCCAAGTCCCGGGACTTAGGTTACGGGTTCCCACTACTAAACAGCAGGTCTTCGTGACTATGGGGTTCACCCCCGTTTGTTTTTCACGCGAGTGTGTAATAAAGAATTCGTTTGGTGTGGTTTTCATTTGCAGTAAAGAAGCTTACAAATGATTTTTCTACATCACTCTGGTGTCCACTGTCGACCAGATGTTGCAGAATTGAGCTGCTCAAGCTTTTCATTATTCCTTTTCGAAGAGCGGCCGGACAATGTTCAGATATCCTCTTGGACAAACGCCTTGTTGTGTGTCCTATATAACGAGCACTAAAAGTGCACGTGAACTGATATTGACTAAAGAATTGAGACTGATGAGGCAATCTATCTGTAAGCGGCTGAAAAGTGAACGGCTTAGTCTTCCATGGGAGTCTTAAATGCACCGCGGGAAAACAGTTGGCAATGGCTTTTAATAACCGGTGCTCCAGGATTTCTAATACCCTGTCTCCCTTGAAAGGAACATTCACCAACACCTTTCTGGCCATTTGTGCTTCTGCATCGTTTTGTTCGGGTTCTAGATGCCGTCGAATGAACACCTCTGGTTATCCGTTCCTGTGGAGGATGTCTTTTAGGTGGGTCATCTCTTCATTCAGGGTCTCTAGGTTACAAATTCTCTTCATCAGCTATGCAATCAATCCGTCTTTATCATCCGTGTCAGATGTATTTATCCTTGATTTATCTACTTTTCTCTCGCCCATTTCAGTCTGTTCAACATTCGGAGCGTGAAATCGTGAAGCTTCTGTACGAAAAGGATAATCAACTTCGCGAAATGCAGGTACACGTCCATTGATGTTTAAGTTCGGTTCCGTTTTGAAAAACTTCATTATCACTAACGCCTACAAAGGTCCATTGCTGTTTACTCTCACTTTCGATGTCTGTGCTTTACGTGATCACTTTTCCTCATCATGTCGAACAATAATTAGGACATTCGTGGTTCGCGATTTTGGCATATTTAGTAATAAGGTTGGGTTGGGGTTGGGAAGTTATTTTACATCAGTGATTCAACCGAATGATATGATCACAGTTACTGAGTATTATGGGTCATATTTGGCTTCCTGGTTCCAGCAAAATTACTCTATCATTTTTGACAAAAAACTCGGTGAGATGGGTGAATTTCGGCATAGGAATTGACACTCGTGTCTTTGCTCACGTTCTTCATCTCCAATAGTTCCTACTGTGCTCAAATTCTTTCTACTTATTCACTCAACTGTTCTCTGGAAGGATGTTATCACAATTCCGACCAAAAATGGAGGAACTACTAATTATAATCTTCATCGGTTGGAGGTTTTTACTACTGATAAGCAATATTTTGTTCGTCTCCAGTTCTATATGACGGTTTTATGATGAATAGTTCATTTGAAATTTCCCTATGGTTTTCGGCTATCTATTTATCCTTCATTCTCTCTCTTTTGTTCCCCATTATCTCTCAACAGATGTTGATCGATTGGTTAGAAAGACGGGTTCGTGAACATATTGAACAAGTAGCTGAACGATACGAATGCCTATTCAACCAGTCTACAACTTGGTATGCTTTCTATCTTGTTTATTCATGGGAACTTGAATTTACACATGATTTGTTTAACTGCATTCAGTTAGTGTCTGCTACATATGCTTTGTATGGACTGCGTCATTGGTTACCGAAATCACCAAATACCTCCTTTCGAACAGGAGAAAAACAAATGGCCCAATGCGCCAATTGGAAATAAAATTCAGCCTTAGGGTTCTATTGATTTTCCCGTAAACGTACGCCTGAAAGTCTACGTCATCAACCTATTGGTATGTGTTTTTTCACCCTCATGTGTGAATTAAGTGATCATGGAGTTTTTCGTCCCTGTCTGGAAGTGTGAATTTTTGAAATATCCACCAACCCCCGTATTCGACAGTTTGTGTATTCCCACTTTCGAGTTTCACTGTTACCTCCGTCCCCCCTCCAAATTTGATGTAGTTTTCGATATAGTAATAAAGCGCCTATCATTTTAACTCTCCTCGATATGATTTTCCTTTGGATTCTTTTCTTCATTGGAAAATCAATATTTGAATTTGATCGATATCAGATAGTTGATTTTGAAAAGTGCCTCACTCACTAAGCTAGTTGCTGTACGACATCTGGGCCTCTGACCGGAATTTCTTGCCCCGATAAAAGGATCCTGGGAGCTAGATTAGTTTAACAGTCATTCGATTTTAGCTCAGACTACCGTGAATGTTGCACCCAAATAGTTCTAGCTGTAGGTTATCCAGTGCTTGTTCAACTCTACTGGTCATCCTTCTGTATTGATACAACAATTTCGACTTCTACTAGGTCATCAAGGCTTGATATCGACGTGGTTGAGTCTGGATTGTTTGGTGTAATAGCACGTAATAGGATTTCGTATGATGCGTTTCAGAGGCAGCATATTGAGATTGCCGCGGATTCCAACCTGCTATTTGACGTAATAGACTGAATGAATGTTGAATCTTGTGGATTAAAGTACATTTTGGTTTAATTAAAAAATATTTTCTCTTCTCCGAACATTCCGTTACTTTTTGATAACAAGTAACGTCTCTTTGATTTATTAGTTCCATACATACCGTCAAATTGACTTACGGCCTTTGCATCTGAGTGATTTTCGATACTTCCCTTGTCATGGTATTATTCACGTCCAATCGATCTGGTCCTACCTCGTTTCCTTTTCACTTCTTTCTGCCAATAAGTCTAAGAACCACTACCGGTGGTTGAGAATTCATATCTGGATCGTCTTATGTAGTTGGATCATCGCCATCAGTTCATTCGCATCTTTTATGCACTGAAAACTTCGCGCTTGTTTTCGAAAGCCCTCAAATTGACCTTGTCTTCGACATGTGTTGCGTGATTTTGCGCCTCAACCAGCCAACCTTCTCGTCTGTGACTCGCGTTCTGATTGTTGCTATTTTTTGTCCATCTTAAGGCATGTGACATTCACGTACTGCTTGGCGTCTCGATTTTGCTTTCAACTCATTTGTCAGTCTGTTTTTTACGAGTTACTTGTTCCCGACATAAGTACTGGTGTTCGCTATTATCCAAATGATCTTCTGTTGTTTTAGGGAGAACACGGCTCATTTGTTGAGTTACCTCCCTCCTAATGAGGTTCGGACACGAAAACTGGTTACCGAACTGGTAAGAATTTGTCCGATATTTTCCCGTTACTTATGTTGACTTTTTCGATGGTTTTCTTGCTCGAGAGGGTTATTCGTGCACACACACCTCTTGCTCGTCTATGACCGATTCATACCTACACAGGACAGTCCACTTTATTTGCATGATACTTCAGTTATTGATCGATTTTTGTGAGAGATTGCGAAACCTGTGGGTTCTCACCGTTGATTTTTGAATTAATTTAGCATTGGTTACAAGTTGTGTTCCTTTGCTACACTTGACAAAATGTGCGTGTTTTCTTGCTGTGCTGATCAATAGCACTTAAATGCCGTGATAGTGTAATTTTCAGGACCGAATCCACCTCTGAGTCCACTCGAAACACTGGCAGAAGGTTGACTCTGGGCAAAGCAGTCTGAGTTCTTATACCACTAGCGTCGTCCCAAAAGGCCGCACAATCCCTGGCCATCTCACCAAATGGGTTACCGCGGCGAGTAGTTGCTGGAATAAAGCCAAGGGTAGTCAAGCTAAGACCTGGCATAAGAGTATGAAAACCCCAACTAGGAGTTTGGGTCACATAGGTCCTGTCAGGTTCTCTGGATGGGGACATCGGAATAATCGTAACCGATGGTTAGAGACATTGAGCGATATGGCTGGGTGTCGTAAACAGTGGTGTTCTTGCATTTTCTCAATTTATTTGCAACATTAGTCCACTGGAATTCTAAATTTTCTCTTTGATCCTACTTTTTACCTTCCTGTTTTTCCTCCTATTGTTCATCCAAATGGGCAGCCAAAAGACAGCAACCAAAAGCAACG